GAATTCAGATATGGAGCTTTAATAAGTTGTAGTTACGCACAATCTACTTGTAATCTTGAGTTTTAAGTAATGTAAATTATTAAACAGTATTTTACGCATAAAAATGGTTTTTAAAAGTATTGATACATTATTTGTCTCTACGCTTTCGGATTTAAGTAGTGGAGGGAATTCTATTAGATTGAGGTTAATGAAGATATGTCGATAAAGAAATGATAAAAGAAAACAAAGAGACCGTTCTTTTTCTTTCTAACATGTGTTGTGCGCATTAACAATATTAACGCCTTTTGTTTTTAACTTGTGAAACGTTAAGAAATAACTAATTTAGATCAACTATGCAAAGTGTTAGTTGAGCAAAACATGATCGTCTTTCAGAAACTAATGTTGGGGGAATTCACCTTGATGCGATTGAAGTGCTTTCCAACACCGTTTGGCACAGAGCATCCCACCTTGAGAGGGGTCGGGATTCCTTTTTAAGATTACTTTCGAAAATAAATCCAATAGAGATTAAGTGGGGTCCATGGCTTTCGGAGATGGTGTTTGGGGTTCAAAACCTCGACTCGCAACTACCAAAATTTAAATCATATTTTGAAAAACCAACTTTTAAAACCGTCACTTTAAAAAACTAGTTTTCAGAACTATTCGTTTACAAAACCTAAAATTCATATGCCCAAAATAATATAAAAAACAGAGTCCAATTCATTTAATGCAATTTATCCTATAGTACAATAATACTAAAAGAAAAAGCATGCCAAATATAAAGGTGGCACTTGTTCATAGATTCTACACACTAAGAGCAATTTCATATCATAAAAAAGAACACTAAAAAGAGCAAATATGATGACCCATAAACATTAAAAAAAACTCAGCTCCAATCACATTTAAAAAAAAAAACCAAATTTATGGACCCCACATTAAAATAATAAATATAAAAACCTAAAAATTAATATTTGTAATTATTTGTTTATAATTTATTTTAAAAAATTTATTTATTTATGGATGGTGGTGGGGACCACCTTTTTGGCGTCCAAGTCTTCTCCGGCAAATTTGCAGTTCAAAATTCACCTCCGGCAAATTTATGCCGTTTATGCCGTGCGGTTGGATCCAAAAGAACGACAAAACTAGTGTTTTGCCATTCGATTGAAGTTGCTCTAAAGGTAGCATTTCTTCATAGATTTCCAAAGAAATATAATGGAATTGGAATATTGAATTCTTTTGATTCAAATTTCATTTCCTCATTTATAGGGTGTGCTTATGAGTGGGATTGATCGAGTTGAAGATATTTAAATAGCCCAATCCAATGTTTGTGGTATGAAAAATCTCAACCCAACCCAATCCAACTCAAACGGTAAAAGCTAATCGGGTTGATACTTTAGTACATCAAAATATTTTTATAACTTCAAATATATTGTTTTCTCTACTCATAATTCATTTTTCATCATCAATCATTTGATACAACTTATCCGTATGCAAACTAAGAAAACCACAAATCGACAATACAACCCTTGTAGGCAAACCAAATGCAAAATATGATCTCTCTCTACCACCAAGCAGTTGAAAATAAATACAGAACTGCTAGAACAGGTTTAATCAACCAATAAAGTCAGTCTATTGATGCTAAAATTTACTCTTTAAGAGTTAGTACTAACCTCCCACTTCAATGTTGACAAGAATGTACACGATGCTCACCAAAACGGAATTGGATTTTGTGTTGCAACTTCCTTACCTAAGTTTCCGTTTCCCTCTACGAATCGCAGCCGCTCTTGATCTAGAATCACCACTTTCAGGCGAGTCTTCAACAACCGTTTGTTCTTGTAGAACCAAACCACGGTTCCTGCAGAACTTCCTAATTGGTGTTGTCGGCAAAACCGTTCCATTTTCATCTGAAGCGGATTCTCGTTGAGAATTAGGTGATGCATCATAGGCTGGATTCCTGTTTGGCATGAGTTCGTCTCCAGGAGCAACCGAGTCCAGCATCAACTGTGAATTGCCAAACAGATTACAAGGTTTTAGATCATCTCATTTTTGTAGCCATTCTGTTCCTTATGGGTGCAATTGGTACAAGGACAGGACCGGACTGCACGAGACTGGTGAGGGTCAGGTAGGTTGGTGAATGAATTGCAGAAGATTTCAAGCATTTAATTTGATATGGGTTAGTTTAGTAATTTACCTATCTTCTCTCATTTCCCTAGTTCCTGTTCCACCTATATTCATGGGACAAAAAACTACACTTTTTGTCTCACTCGGTCGTGTTTTGACCTAGTCTAATTGTCACGCCAAAGGTGGGACAAGAAGTTTTTGGTCTATCCTGTCTTGTTATGTATCATGTACCAAACACACTACTGATTTAGAAGAAACTCAAGATGGGGTTAGGAATCTTATGATAACTGAAACATACTGGGCCAATGCCAGTAAATGGTAACCAGAAAATCTGATTACCAATCAATACCATATAAGAGAATAGTAAACTATCCAGATTAAATAAGTTGTACTTGAGTTCAAATTTGCATTTGACTGAAGTTATTCAAATATAAGTATCCGACTGTTTGGTGTTTCAAATACAAATATCCATATTTCAATTCAATTAAATATAAATATATAGCATAAGATTATAAATATCTGCTATACCGAACAATGTACAATATATAATATACACTTTCTAGAAGTAAAAATCTAATTACTAGCCGCTACATAGTGCCAGCCTCCTAAAATATTAAAAGGTAAAGCTTAAAGAAACCCAAAAAAAAAATCTAAAGCAAAAACTTATGAACAAGTTTTTTAAGTTGACAATGGTTTTCATATTTTATTTTTTGTATGATTTTCTGAAATGCAAATTCAGACATCAAAAATTTTAAGATCCCTCAAATTTGAGTTCGAATATTGAAATTTAAAATTCAAACATCAACATAAAATTGAAATTCTTGTAAAATTACCTTCCAATCTCTGAAATCAAATCTGAAGATAAAATGACTGTATGAAACCTCCTTCGAAGCAACTGCATTGGCAGCTGGAGCATTCTTTGGTACTGAAAGAAACAGCATTAACACATAAGGGTTCAAGAGGCATTCAGGCAAGTCTCTCAAATAAATTAATAGAAGGTTTTCCTAGCAACATGGTTTTAAAAAGTGTGTGAGGCGTCCCAAAAACAGACCTGAGGCGGCGCCTCTCAGTCCCCAAACGAGGCATACGCCTCAATTGTCTGAGGCGGTAACCGAGGCGGTGAGGCGTGAGGCGGTGGAGAGGCATACGCCTCGATACAGAGGCTAAATTATTCAAAAAAAAATGACTGAAACCTTCTCTATTTCTTTTTTGAAAACCCCATACTTCTCTAGTTCTTCTAAGCCCTATCTGCTACTCGTTTGTGTCCTTCGTTAGTTCCAGTTTTCTCCCACTTTCTTTGCATTTTCTTCTTCAGTTCTCTTCGGTTCACAGGAGTATTATATATATGTATATGTATATGTATATGCTGGATACACTTCTTTTATATTTAGTCTCCACTACATGTCACGGTCACACTTCTACTCCCACTTTGTTGATATTTAATATTCTTTCTTGATGAGTTGTGAGCATATTAATACATACATATATGTTAAGAATAGATCAATATTTTATTTATTTGTGACTATATCTATATTTTGTGATTGAAAAAGTGTATGTAGATTCTTCTGGTAATTTAGTATGATATATGTGTGTGTGTATATATAGTGTTAGTACTCAAGTGTGAAGTGTGTGTATGTATTGCATATATTTTCTGAGTAGAAGCAGGGAAATGCAGATTGGTATAAATATATATTATGTAGTATATATATTTCCACCTCAAGGCTTACACCTCGCCTCGTTGAAGGGAAACGCCTTGAGGCACGATTCAGTTTTTTAAAACCTTGTCTAGCAATGTTATTTGTGAAAGTGCTTACCCACTAGATGACAACCTTTCTCATCAACTTTTATTTCAGCTCGGCCATCTTTAGCAAGAAAGGACAATGCAAATAGGTTTTCAACAGTCTGTGCGAATGAGCTTCTATTCAACACTAGACTTTCAAGTTTGACAGTTTTATTCTTTCTCAACACATTAAACATGGTTGCCATGTTCTTATCAGTGTCCGTCTTCTCTTCTTTAGAACTTCCAGCAAGCTGCAAAAGCCAGCATAAAGTCAATGCACTTGTGAGATCCATAAAAGCAAGTAAAATCAATCAATTCTCTACTGCAGGCATCATGTCCGCACTCAGGTCAAATAAACTGGCTGCCTACTCTATGACTTCATATGTTAGAAACCAAACCAAACGATTCTTGTATATCCACACACAGAAGCGATATCTGGGGGGTTGGGATGTACAAAGACCTTACTTCCACCCCAAAGAGTAGAGTGGTCATCTCCGTGAAGACTCCCAGCTTGTGAAAGGTGTGGGGAAAAGCTTGTCAAAAAAGTATGAAGAATTTTAAAAAAGGATAGAGAAAACGAATAAGATGACCTTGAGACCAGAAACAAATGACTTCATATATGTCGTGTTTCCTAATATCAAAGTTATATTCAACCAGTTCAATCATGACTAGAACTGAGACATATATTAAAGTAAATCATGCAATCTACAGATGATGATAAAAGTATTAGAGTTACAACAAGAGATTCTACACACATGGATAAAAGTATTTAACCATTTGTCGAATATCTAAAACACTCTTCCATAACGAAAATATAAAGGAAATGCATCTGAAGGTAACTTCTAGTTTCCAAACAAAAGTAAATCATGTGGACCAACCAAGTAACATTAGTCTAAAGAATTCCAAAAATGTTGCAACATGAGACATCCTTGAAAGGATTTTTTTGCAACAATTGTAGACAGGGAGAGAATTAATCTCATGTGACACCCATATTTCCAATGCTCTGTCCTTTGTAAGCCAACATATTCAAATCAGAACCATTTATCTTGCAGGTCAGGAAACTATAAACTACAATTAGCATAACAATACAGGGTTATACACAGTGCCAAACCGTCAAAGAAAACAACTTCCATCACCTTGCAGGCTCGCACCACATTGAAATAAACGATTCAAGAAAGAATGCAAAATACCTCTTCACAGTTCATCCAAATATTATATTACCTCTTCAGGCCGAGCTTTTTCAGTTGGTCTTGTATGCTTTCTATGGACAACAGCCTTTCGTTGCTTGACTTCAGAATTCATTGGTCCAAGCCTGCAACAAACAAAGAACACTTTAGAGAGCAAGAGAAGAACAAGACTGGTAAAAGCACAGAATTAAACCCATCTGTATTTACATCGTGCAGCATCCATCACCCTTGAGAAAAACATGAGATACTGAAGAACCAATCTCCTTCCACCTAATAGAGTTCCTAGTTCCCTCAGCACCATCACTTCCTCCACCAAGTTGTCCGAAGTCCTTCAGTAGACAAGATACAAAATCAGCTGCGGTCACTCCTTCACTAGTTTGGGCCTTAACAGAGGTCATCAATGTATTAGTGATGTCCAATAAGGCCTCCGCATCAGCAACTTGCTCCCTAGGCTTCTGTACTGGAAACCAAACATAGCACATGTTAGGTGGTCCATCATCCACGTTTATACATAGAACAAGCTGATGAAGGCACTTTCAGAGAAATATTCATCACAAGAATTGTATAAAATGAAGTCATATTGCAATCTCACAAAGACAATGACTTGCTTTTTTCTGTCTTGTGTTTTAATTTGGTAGCACATTCATCTGTCATGTTTCCCATACCCTATGTTATGTAAACATGTGATAAGAATGATATGGTGCAAGCATGGTAACAAATGATTTCTTACAAAGAAATGGTCCCTTGAAACCATGAAAGAATACAACCATTTGCAGAAAACAGAAGAAGGTTAGTGAACACAAACTTGAACAGACAAACTAATTATGTACAGATGAAGAATTCAAATGATCTTGATCCTTGTTCTATATAACACTCGCCATTCCCCAAGTGGCATAAATTAAACCATGAAATTAAAAACTACACAAGAAGAAGTAACAAGATTGACATCAAGTTTCTAAAAATTGCTTGTTTGTAATTATGCCTTAAACTAATCGACTACTGATGCTCCAAAAGAGCATGTGAAATTTACAATCCTTGGTTCCTTGCAGCTCCCATTCTTTGGTAGTATAACAAATATATAGAACAATATGATAAACAACCAAGCCAATTATCCATAAGTTTAAACCCACACTGCAACACACAACACAAACCACTGACTCATACAACACAGTATGGTAGAGTAAGTTACCCAATTGATGCAGGCATTCAACTTCATCGAAGATTGAGTTAAACTTGTCCGAATCAGCCTTTGTAATATCATCTCTCTTGACTGCAACAAAAACAAAACCATTGGAAACCCCATAACTGACTTACATTACATAGGTTTCTACACCATAACAATAATAGAAAGTTAAACAACAAAAGCCTGATTCACGGCCAAAATTGTACCAGAGTGAACGAGTATTACCGCTTATCAGGTTCTTGACAGCAAGATATCGAGACCGAAGAACCCTACGCTCCAATCCATTACCGTTATTCTCGTCATCTCCTTCATTACGATCACTCTCTTCCCTCTTCCTCCGCCTAACACCATTAACTTTACTCTCACCACCACTCGGTTCACCTTTCACGCTTCGAACCATGATTAATGGACACAACAGAAGATTAGAAAAAATCTTGCTCAAATAACCTCAAAAAAAGGGAAGAAATCAATTGAAGTAAGGTAAATAAACCCTAGAATTTATGACAGAGAGAAGTGGCATCAATTGAGAGGTAAAAATATTGCAGAATTTGGGTAAAATCGAATTGTGAAAAGAAAATAGGGTTCGAAATCGAAATTCGAGCTCCAAAATTTCAAAACTTTTGATGAAAACCGCGATTTGGGGCCGCCATCCTCTTTTGATCTGTTTTCATTTTTTCCTCCAAATTTATAATTTGCCACCCAAAATACATTTCACTACCTCCAAGTTTATGTTTACTTCAAAAACTCCACTAAATTATAGGATATTTTTAATCTATACTATGTTAAAAAGTATTTGACAAAAATTCTTAAAAACTATTTTTTATACATGAATTACCGTATATTGATGTATATTACATAAAATTCAACATTACAAGTTAATTATGTATAATACAACTTATTAAAATTTCATGTTTGAATTCGTGTAACTACCTGCGGATAAACATAATCAAATAAAAGATAAAAATCTCATTTTAAAATATAAAAATCTAAAATATAATTAGAATAATTATCGACTTCTAACAAAATAATTAATTATTATCTTTATAAAAAAAACTATATTATTAAACCAAATATAAATTACTTCGTTATTAAACCTAAAATCAATTATAATAAAAAATCAATTAAAAATTACACAAAAAATGAGAAATTTTAAATAGTCAATTTGATACTAATATCAATATATTTTTGTCAAGTTTTTATGATATCTTCAAATTTATATTTTATTCGAAAATAAAAACATCATCGTTTTTTCAAAATCACGTAAGACCATATTATAAAATCGATTGAGATAAATAATAAAATAAAATATTAAAATCAAGATATATCTCGCTACATTGTACGAGTATCCATCTACTAAACAAATAAAACATTCTTTATTTTTCATTACATATTTAAATTTTTTTTAAACAATGATAAATATATTTTATGTTCTCAAGTAAATAAGAATATGTAGAAGAAAAACAACATTTTTAATTTTTTTACATATTTGAGCAAAACGTTGATTGTCAGCAATCTCAACCGACTCATATAAAACACGTCCCTTATGAATCACATGTAAAAAGGTATTTTAGAGTTATTTCTTATCTATGGAACTGAACATCGAAAAAAACGAAACAATCTCGTGTTTTTTACTAATATTCCAAACAACACGAAATTTTATAAAATTTAAGTTGATACGATGTGCAAGAGGAGAATTACATCAATAACCTTCATGAATTATAAGAGATTTATTTTTCATTTCATACTTCGAAATTTTAATTTCTCGAAAATCAAAACCCGTAGTTTCGACAAATTTAATCAAATGTCTGAAATACCCTTCGATCCATTCTTCAATTCATCATTCACAAGATCATCATCCATGGCCTTTCTTCCAAAATGTCCCTTGTCTCCGCCGTTAAATCTAACGGCGTTATTGCCAGACTTGACGGCGGAAAATTCAGCCTTCAAGTTATCCATGGCTTTCCTTAACATCCCGTTTTCAGCTTGTATCATCTCCAGCTGTTTCTTGACACCCAAAAAGGCATCTGCCACGTCACTGGATCCTGGCCCCGCTTTGCTTGAGGTCCTGCAATGGTCACGTGCCACGTGTTCGATCCCGATCTTGTTGATGATCAAAACCGGAAGTGTCTGGAAAGAAATCCCGGCCGTTGATTTGTTGTTCTTCTTCATCAGCACCATCGCCGTTTCCTCCGTCGCCGGTAGTCTAAATCCCCATCGGAAATTCAAATTAGCTTGTTTCCTCAAAGGGACGGTGGTCGTGGCGGTCATTTCGACGTCGGATAAGACGCCTTTCAGCAAGCCGGCGGCAGGAGATTCCAGCGGCGAATTGGAAAATTTCTTGCCGTTTTCAAACAAATCAACAATTACCGGCACATCTTCATCTGGAACACCACCACCGCTGTTCATTTGCTTCTTAAACACCGACGATTGAGTTTTTTTGACGGTGAAATCGCCGAATTGAGGCTTGAAGTGAACAAAAAAACTAGGGTTTTGAGCGCCTCCAATCAAATTGAATTCAGCGCTCATGTTCAATGAGCTAGAAATCGGAGAACCCAAATGCCCGATTCCGGTCTTGAATACGAGACTAAACGGATTAATTGAATCATTTGGACGATAAGCGACCTTCACAGACGGACCGGATTCGAAGAAAGTGCTGAGATTCAACGACAGCTCTTTAGATTCACCGGCTACAACACCCGATTGAAACGGAAACCCAAGAATATTGAGAGGCACTTTTGCTCGAAACAGAGGTTTTTGTTCCTCCCTAAACTTCATCGAAGCTTTCATGGCTACTCTTTGTCTATGTTCCCGGCGGTGAGGGTTTAAGAAAGAGAGGAGAAGTGTTTCAGAGTTTTCCGGCGGAGATTTCGCTCAATATAAAGATGAGGAATTGCATATTTTTAATTTAGACAAATCGTTTTTGTCAATATTCTAAAAATTCTTATTGTCCAAAATACCATTGTATTATTACTATTTTTACATAAAATTCTATGATCCTTGGGGTATATATGTAAATCTGCTTAAGGTGCCAACTAAATATTTGAAATTTGAAATTTTCAAAATTAGATGTTTTTAATATTAAATAAATAAATGTCCAAAATATAATTACGAGCCTTGGTTCAAATTTCAAAATTTTCTCTTAATGATTTTCAAAATTAATATTAATATTAAAAAAACTAAATACATACCACATGTTATATTTATAGTTTTTTATTACAGATTATGATCATATTCTGATATAAAATAAAAAACTTGATAACAAACGTAGTACAAAGAGGCAACTTGGAAATGTAGACTGTATGATTGTATTCGAATCTAATTACATAAAGTTGTGCTCTTTCTAGCATGATGAAATTGTTTACGTTTAAGACCAACCGTCTAAAGTTATGGGTTAAAGTATTACTAAACATAAGTAACTTATGGGCCGTTTACCAAACACTTACCTGATAAGTGTTTCCCGATAAAATTTAACATTATTATTTACTTGACGGGTAATATTTTAATCCACTTAAACGACATTGTATGCAATAATTTACCCGGTAAGCGCTTACCATAGTAAAAGTCGTCGTTTTCACCTATCAGGTAAAACTCTTGGTCTTTGTCTCGTTATTACCGGATAAAATTATCGGTTCTTACCATATTCATCCGGTGAGGTAATGTTACTTGGTAAGCGCTTACCCGGGTAAGCGTTTGACAAATGGCCCATTATTTATTTGCATAAACGTTTGGATGAATGTAAACTAGCCTATTGAAATGCTAGTTGAAACAACATTTTAGGTGCTTTATGATAGTTTTTTTCCAATTATAACTATTATCAATTTTGATTAATATGTATTACTATTAATTATAAATAAATATTAAGTATTATAAAAATTAATTATTAAATATTAATTGAAATTATTAATTAATTTTATTTATACGTTATATATTAATAATAATCATTAATTCTTTATAATTTATACGTTATATATTAATATTAATTATTTTAATTATATCAGTTATTTATATATTATTTTTTTTACAAATTAATATTCAATGTATTTAGTTATCAAAAAATAAATACAACAATTGTGGGAGTATTTATGTAAGTTATATAAAAACTAAAATTATAATTTTTTTGTTTCACATATAATAAAAATGTGCTAAGTGATTTTAGTAAAATATTTAATTTAGTCATCGGTTATATTTTTTGAAAAAATATTATTTATAAAAATATGTGAGGTTTATCAGTCTAATTTTTATTTATATTATATGTAATGATTATTTAAAACCATAAATTAATATGGATTATTTTAAAAATTGTTTTGACAAATCGAAAGTTTATAATATACATATATATAGGGTTATTTCAAATACAATCTATCGCATTTGTACAACCAATTCAACCCAATAAATTGAAATATTTATGGAAATGATTAGAGTTCATTTATTATGATTTAAATATTTATGGAAGATGAATACGGTTCATTAATTATGATTAATACTTTATATTAAGAAATAATCAAAACCTCTATAAAATCACATATTAATCAAATGAAATGGACGATTGAGATTGGGTTGTATTGGTTGCACAAATGACAAGGGTTGTATAATAACCAACCTATATATATATATATATATATATATATATACACATATGTGTGTATGTAGATTCATTTGAGAAGTAATCAACTGATCATACCGCTTTATACGATCAAAAATTGCGGCTTTAACTAGTCAAACGAAAAATAAATGGGTGGTTTCGTTACTTTTATAAACAAGTGCATATGTGAATCAAATAATTTATTCATATGTAAATCATACAAGTTCATATGTGAATCACAATGGTTTATATGTGAATCAGTTAAAATAGTTTACATGTGAATTACACAGGTTCACGTATGAACATATAATTTATATGTGAATTACACGGGTTTACATAGACACTTGTTTTGCCGCTTATTTGTAAAAGTTACGAAACTAACTCTCTATCTTCCGCGTATCATGCGGGGAATAATCCGATGTTTCACAGTCAAAGCCGTAAAATCTTGACCAGATAAAAGGCTAGGATCATTTATGTGCTTCTCAAATATTTACCACTTCTCAAATAAATAAATAAATAAATAAATATATACACACACAGACGTAGAGAATAATCAATTTGAATTATTTTAATTAATATGTTATATTATTATTATTATTGTTTGTACTAATTAACATGTTATATTATTAGGGAGTTGTTTTAATTATATTATAAAAATTGACTAATTTTTTAAAATGTCATTTTTAGTCATTTTATATTTCTCATCTAGCTTATTAGCTATTAGTTAGCTTATCGGTCAGTAATTAATTTATCAACTAACAACTAGTTTATCAGCTAAAGATTATGTAGCTTGCCAAACATAGCCTAATTTATACATTCGAATGGAATAAATTTACCAAATATTTATCTTTAAATATTTAACTAAACAACTTATATTTCAAAAGTTGGTTTAATTTGGTACCCGTATCATTATATTTGAGAGCATAATAAAATAAAACATCCATAAATTTTAAGATACACGAGTTCTCATGTAAAGTATTTTTTCTAAATATAATTAGTGTTGTTTTTTTAAATAAAATAAAATGATAATTTAATAATTTGCCTTTTATTTATTTGACATCTCATCAAAATATTTTATTAACTTTATTTTTCCATTATTTTTAAAAAGTCATTACTTCAATTATTTTAGGAAAATCGTTTGATTAAGTTTATTTTCATATTATGTTACTGAAGTTCTTGTTTATGTGTTTCTAACTTTTTGATAATTTCCTTGGTGTTGTTACTTTTTTGAATTATGATTTGTTACCCAAAAAAAAAAATTGTGTACCAAAGTTATAGATTTCGTAAAGTGTTTACAATGATCCAGAGGGAAAATTCTATGGTTTATACATAGATATTAGTATTTGCAATGTTTAAGTAAAATATGTGTTCACAAATGTCCAAAATGCGTTCGACCGATTATTCGGTGTGTCCGTGAGATTCTTTTAATTGGAGGGAAGAGAGGCGAGAGAGTAGATGAGAGAGAATACGTGTAAAATACCAATAGTACCCTTTATTTAACACACACATATACATACATATATATATAACATAAAAACCATGAAAATAGTTTTTGTGTGTTGTTTATTTATTTTATAGATGAAACGACACATTGAATTTGCATTGTTCATACAACTTTGTTTATGAGATGAAATGTCATAAGATGTTTTGCATGTAAAAATATATATTAATATACACTTTTCAATGAAACACACACTCATACTCATGCACACGAGGAAAACATGAACAATATAAATAGTCGGAATCAAACTTACTTCATTGTTTTTGGTCGATTTTCATGTGTGTTGTTTTATCTAAACAACACATAAAACTAGATTTCACAATTCATAACATTCTAGTCAGTTTCTGTTTGATCCGGGGTTTATAACTCTGTGTGTGTGTGTGCAAACCATGTTTTTTATACAAACCAATTACATCCATTCATTTTCATGATAAAATGTCGCTATTAAAGMAAGTTATTTTAGTAAAGTAAAAAAATAAAAGAAAATAAACTATTATTATTTTCAACAAGAAAAGGCAAAACGGAAACAAATAGTAAACTGTTGCAATCATTGAAATCTCATTTCCCGCATTCAATTTCGTGAACATGTTTCACTGGACATTATGAAATTGTTAAGGATGGAACAATAGGCTATTTAGAAGTGTTAATAATGAAACAGAATGAAACTGTTAATAACAAAACATAATGAAACCATGGCATTGAGAATAAAACATAATTAAACTGTTAATGATGAAACAAAATGAAACTGTGACCTTGAAAATGAAATAGAATGAAACAGAATGAAACTGTTAATAATGAAACAAAATAAAACTGTTAATGATGAAACAAAATAAAATTGTTAATGATGAAATGGAGTTACCTAGAAACTATAAAATGGGGGTATTTTAATAAATGATTAAACATAAAATATTTTTTAATCAACAATTATTGTACATTTTTCAAATATGACAATTTGTATCAACATATTTAATGGATAAATCAATTAAATATTTATTAAAAAGCTGTTAGCTAATCAATATATAATCCATATTTATATAAAATTAAAGAATTACCAAACTTATCTATTAAAATTAAATACTTACCAGACATAACTATTGTAATCTCAAAAGCAGGGGCGGAACACACACTTTCCAAGCTCAGGGGCCGAACCTAATATTATATATTTTCAAAAATGCCAAAAATACACTGGGGACGATGTGTTAGTAAGGTTTGGGGTTATCCAATCAGACACACTTACCTTTTACTCTATGTCAACTAAATCTTTTCTTATGCATGTCATGTTTTACAGTGTATTTGATTTAGGCTAAAGCCTCGAGAAACCAAAAATTGATCATTGTTTTAATAATCCTTAGAGGATAACTTGGTGTTGAAGGACGATTAGTGAGATATATAACCGGGGGACATTTGTAGAGACCACCCGGACGAACCACAACGCGAATCATCTATTAATTAAGTTGTTCTTTCTAATCTTTATACACATTTCATTCGTTTCATTGGTGGTAATAGCATGATCTCACTATTATATTCACATCAAGTAGTAAAGACGAGCATCAGGATACATGACATTTACTTGATTACAAACCGTATGGACCTCAAGAGATGATTCCAGGCATTGTTGAGTTGAAATTGTATTGATAATTCAGTTTGTGTTCACTTGGTTTGATTGTGTGTCCCCATCCCAATTTTGCAGCCAAACACTAAATTAAAATATATATTCGCTACCCAATAAGAAAGCCTAAATATGATCCTACCCGTAATCCRAAAATAYATCATGGGTTRAA